GCCGGGTCCCGGACCGCCCGAGCGGGCGGGGGGCGGTGGCGCGGCCCGCTGGGTCCGGCTGAACGTGGGCGGCACCTACTTCGTGACCACCAGACAGACCCTAGGCCGGGAGCCCAAGTCGTTCCTCTGCCGCCTCTGCTGCCAGGAGGATCCGGAGCTGGACTCGGACAAGGTGCGCCCCGCCCTCGGGCGCGCCCCCGGCCTTCGGATCCCCTCGTTCCTTCCAGACTGGCCCCCAGACCCTGCGGCACGCTCCTCACTCGCGGAGGCCGGGGCCAGGACCCCTTCCCTTTCCCCTTCCCCTGCAGCGCCAGCCCCGGGGACTGTTCGCCCCCATCCCGGAGCGCCGGCTTTCTCGCCGACCCCGCCCTTGGTTTTCAGCTACTCCTTCCCCACACTTTGTGCCCACCCGCACCCACGAGGACCTACTCCACAGCCTGTCTCCATGCTCGCCCCCACGCCTCTCCTCCCAGCCCCTGAGGTCGGCATGAGTGTTTCCTTGGCTCTTCCTCAGCCTGTCACGGCCCGTGCCAGATGCCTCCAGAACTGGGTCAGGGTGAGCTTAGGCATCTTTGGAGCTTTCTCATACTTCCTCTGGGACCCCTCTGCCAAGTCGGACACGCCTGAGTCTGACGATGACTGACAGCTGCGGGAAGTGCTGCTGGTGGGATGCACATGTTCCCCGTGGTCCGAGTCCCTGAACTTGCGTCTGGTGACAGTCACTGTTTTAACTGAGGTCCATGTTGGAGATCACATACATTCCTTGGAAAGGTTGCCCCTTGCCAGTGCAAACCTACACCAACTGGTAAAAACCAGACTGAGGGAAACTCCGGAGCAGGAGCAAAGAATGTTTTAGGATGAGATGCATGGCTGCTAACCAGAGGGTTGAGAGGTGACAAGACACTTAACCCATTTCCTGTTTGAGCTGTTCTTTGACTTTATTTTTAAACTATGTGTTCATCTTTCAGTTCCTAACTTAACAGGCATTGACCCTTGCCTACCCCATTTTATATCCAAACCGTGCCCCGCTGTTATCTGGCAAAAGTTGGATGGATTAACCTGTTGTTGATTCCATGTAGTCATCTCTTACCTCTCTAGTAAATCTCAGATTGATGGCAGTCTGTCCTGCTGGAACTGTAGAGTGTTCCCAAGTCCCTTGCTGATAAAGGAATTGTTTTTATCTACCCTAATCTCCCTTGTTGCAATAGCAGCATCTCTTCTCATTCCTTTTACCGTAAAGATGAAGAGGATTAAAGCTGCTTGAAGCCAAGTCCTGGCAGTGCCAAGCTTCCTCTGGGCACATTGCTGGGGTGTGTGAGATTACAGCTGGCAATGCAGACTCCCACTGGTGCTGGCCTTGAGCTCCCGAGCATTGCCAACGAAACAGAGGTTTTCTTAGATTTAGGAATGTGATGTTAGGGATGATAGAAAAGTCAGATTGTCCATCTCAAGCAAAAAATTAGTCATGCAACTCTGGCATTTTCTTCCTTTCTAACAAATACTCTACAAAAGTATGTTGGTGAGTGGGTCCCAGTAAAGCTTTTAAAAGTTTAATCAACCCTATATGTGTATATCTGAAGCACCTTCCCCGAAATGATCTTCAAGAACAGGATACATAAAGCTGGCCTTCTGGCCAATCGTTTGTGGTAAACAAACCTCTAGCAAACTTGCCGTCGCAGTAATAAATTGTGAGAGAGGGTTTGGAGTTTTTACTGTTGGATGCTCTTGTGTTTGCTTGACAGGATGAGACAGGGGCCTACCTGATTGACAGGGACCCCACCTACTTTGGTCCTATCCTAAACTACCTCCGCCACGGGAAGCTCATCATCACCAAGGAGCTGGCCGAAGAAGGTAGGAACAGTGTCTGCATTGGGCGTTTTCAAGATTTAGGTCAAGTCTTTGACACTCGTAGATTGGAATTTTGTATGCGACGTTCACCGACTTAATGTGCAGGTGTGTGAAGGGTTATGACAGTAAGCAGGCAGCCTGCAGTTACCGTGTCTCCTTCAAGGGCGTCTTGTTTAAGGGAGCCCAGCGGGCTCAGCTCAGCCTCCTCAGTGTGAAGGAAAACAGGTAGCTCAGCTCTGCAGACAGCTTCAGGGGCTTTTTGCAGAGTTCTCAGGATCCTTTTTAGCATCTGCTAATGTGAAAGCTGTGAGTGTCCGTAGCCTGAAGTAACACATCTATGACATTTAGGTATTTATATTTTAAATTTTCCTTTGAACTTGCAGCTGTAAAAAAAAAAATAATTATAAAGGCTTGGCCTCCTTTCTTTTAAGACTGGGCTCATGCTTCCTTGTAAATTTTTGCACTGACCTAATTCATTCTCCAGCCCATTGTCAAGTATATCATCTGTTGCCTCATCTTTTTGGTTTGTAGGGCATTTGGAATGTAGGTGGGTCTAGACATCTTTCTGAAAGGCTTGGTTTGGTCGCCCTGAAGGTGTTCAGTTGAAGAAGGTGTTCAGTTGAAGACCAGGGCACCCTGGTCTGGGAGCTTTAGCTCTGAGTAAGAAAGCTGTAACAGCTGCACCGGTCAGTGCAGTGTCTGTGAAACGCCCTGTTACAGTAAAAGGAGGAATCAGTCTCTTTCTCCACCCCCACTCTGTCTCTCTCTCTCTCTGCCCCCTTAAAAAACAGCAGCATTGTAACTGCACACAGAATAATGGTGGGAGTGCTGGGAGTTCCCCGTGTTCACCTTCCGCTCGGACAGTGCAGATTCATGGGTAATCTTACTTCTTGCAAAGAGGAATTTACAAATCCTCCTAATACCTAAAAAAAAAAGTACTTTTTATCTTGAGATACTTTCAAGCTTAAAGAGTAGGAATAGTGCAGAGAATCCCATTTACCCAGTTCTCTGATTTTTGACATTTTGGGTCATGTTTGCAGTGTCTCACTCATTTGCCTGCCTCCTCGCTTTCCTCCCCCGTTGAGGATACCTTGCAGCCTTCACCCCTCAACACTTCATTGTGATTTCCCAAGAAAAGGGTACTCTCTTATATAAATACAGGGTAGCCACCAGGTTTGGGAGGCTTAATATCGGTAAATGTGTGTGGATAAATAACTTTTAATCCACAGCTTCACTCCAGGTTTGTCGGTTGTTCCAGTAATGACCTGTGCAGCGAATTCTTTTCCTGGCACAGAATCACACATTCCATTTAGTTGTCCTCTCCAAGTCCTCTGATTTTGTTTTGCATGAGACTCTTTCATTGATTGCTTTTATATTGTTCAAATCATAGGCATCCTGTTAAATTTGGGCCACATACATTCACACCCCACCCTCAGTCACAGGGTAAGCTGGGCAAACATTGCAAGCTCAGGCATTGTCCAGCGTGGCCAAGTGACACGGGAACAAGTCCTGTGGCTTGTGGGAAGCTGCCAGGTGGGCGTCACAGCAGTGGCCCAGAGGGAGCAGAGCAGAACCTTGTGCACCATCATTCATGTGGGGGAGGTATCAGGTTCACCCCAAGTGCCAAAGAAATGTTCCCCGGGCTGAACGGTGGAGCTCAGGCTTGCGAGAGCAGTTCTCAGCAAGCACGCAGACCCCAGCCCATCTTGCTGTTTTGCTGGGAAGTTCACGCACATCTCTAACTGCAGTTGGCCCTTGTTCTAGGCGTGCTGGAAGAGGCAGAGTTTTACAACATCGCGTCTCTGGTGCGCCTGGTTAAGGAAAGGATACGGGACAACGAGAACAGAACGTCGCAAGTAATGGGCTTTGAGCTCTCTTTGTTAAAAGATTTGTTTTTATTTATTTATGCATACGAGAATTGGGATGTAGCCCAGAGGTGGGGTGGGGTGGGGGTGTGGTGAGAGGACTCACCAGAGACCGAGTGGGGCGCAAACCAGGCAGATCTACTGAAACACTACTGAGGGGAGCAGCAGGGAGACAGGAGAGGTCTGCTGCGCCCTGTGCGTCACTCCTTGGCCGGGGATCGAACTCATGTTGTAGTGGCTGGTGATAGCATGGTAGTGCTCAGACTTTAACCCCTGAGCCAGCCAGGGAAGCCTGGTTTTGAACTCGTGAGGGGAAACTGCCCATGGGTCTGGGTGTGATCTGAGGGAAGCTGTGCCGTGTGTGAGAGCCCAGCCTCTCCCCATAGAGCGCTGGTCCTGGCCTGCAGGCTTGCTCAGAACAAGGTGCAAAGGAGACAGCGCACAGCCCAAGAGAGGATGCGGGGTACAGATGCTCACGCGCAGCTCTCTGGGTCCAAGCCCGCCCGCCTGTGGAGAGAGCGTGCACCCCCTCCACACACACACCAGTGAAGGCCGTGTCAGCTGCTCTTTCTCAGGGCCACGTCCCACCCGGCTCCTGACAGTCACCTGAATCTGTTTTGGGTAGGCTTTAGTGGCTGCTTAGGATGGGAGCTTTGAAGAAAATAACATCAAGCGTCTCTTTCTATTACGAAGTCTGGATGTCTGTATGAGCTCGGCAGGAATTCTGGGAACAAAAACGAAACCCAGAACTTGCCAGGGAGCCCGCTCCTCGCCAGTGGCGTCTCTGCGGCGCGGTGATCTCTGCCCGGTCTCCGGCTCCCGAGCTTGGGGGAGCGGGTGGGACACACATCCCTCTCACGTCAGGGAGACACTGGCAGCCTGTGGCTGAACTTGCTCGTCTCTGTCAGGTTGTGATGGTGGGCGCTCTTGGGAGTCTGTCTACGCAGCGCAGAATTTTCCTGTAATTAAAAATAAGGCAGTGTGTTTCTTTTCACAAAAAACGGCTCCCTCCCCTTTCTGCATCATGCTTCCTGTGTCAAAGTTTCCTGGCTCTAAATGGAATTATCTGGTTGGATAACTGACATTCATGATAAAAAACGAAGTTGCTTCCCCTCCTCTGTCCAACTTGTGAGGGTGGAAAGCAGGACTTAGCCTTCAAGTGCTTTTCCGTCTGACCAGCAGTTGAAAGACTCTTTGCTAAGACTCAAAGGATGTGCAGTTGGTAGGCAGTTGGCAGTTCTAGCTAGTGCTGCCAGGTTTTTGTCGCCTCGTGTTGTATATTCACATGGCATCGAACACGATGACAACTGTCTCCTCCATTTTCCACCATGACCGGCGTGGCTGGAGACCATTCAGGTCGTCACACCTGGTGTGCCACCAGCTGAGTCCTCGAGAGCTCTGTGAGGCTTCTCTCTGATGACAGCAGTGAAGCTAATTAGCCCTCTGGATTCTCAAGGCCCGTGGATTTATACCCAGTTGGAGGCTTTTTTATTCGAGAATGTCAAGGCATTTTTTATGTTAATTGGTCTTCCCATCTCACCTTTTCATTTGGTGAAATTCTGAGGCCCCTCAGAGGCCTTTTCTCTCCACTGAGGCCCGTGGCTCTGCAGTGGGCTCACCTCGTGGGCTTCCAGGCTGCTGGGTCACACTCGCACCTCCTTTTACGGATTCACACTTAAAGAGACACCTGCGGCAGACATTAGGGTGGAGCCAAAATGTGGGCGTCCTGCCTGCTCTTTTAGTGACCTCTCATCTCCTTAGTGGCTGCCACCAGCCTGGGCTTTGCTGTCTCAGAGGAGTTCTTGCTGGTGCTTGAGCTTGGTTCACTTGCACTAGTGGTTTACCTGAAGAGAAAATGGAGAAGAGGCAGAATAGGCATCTCAGCTGGCCAAGCCTTTGGGGAGCCATCGCTGTTTGGGGGTGCTCTGAGTTTGTAACTTAATACACCTGGCTGTTTCCAGAACGTGTGGCTTAGAGCTATTGAAATCCTTGGAAGATTTGTCCTAGATTTTACAAGGGAGGGAATTTTTTATTTAATCTTGGTAACTTGGTTAATGGTAATTGTACATCGCTTAGGAGAAAGTGTAGGAAAAAGAACACAGTTGTCAGGCAGATGTGGGCCCGAGCCCGCCCCCCGCCACGTCAGCTGTGCGGCAGGGCTGGGGCTGCACCTGACGTCAGCGCGAGTGCAGACGCCCAAGTGCAGCCAGGAGCCGAAACCTGCCCCCAGGGCCGCAGCAGAGCAGCCGCGCTGTGGCGGTGGAAGTCAGTGGCGGCGGCTGCTTCTGTCAGCTGCGCTCCCACGAGGCGGCTGGTCTGAAACAGGCCCCATCCTTCAGGAAGAGTCCTAAGTGTAAGTTTTCATTGTTCTTGCCACGCCCATGTTTTCTCTCCATCTTGCGGAGAGTGACTGGCCTGCCCCTGCCCTGGGACCGGCCTCCTCGCGCTGGCCTGTTGCCGTTGTGCTGCCGGACCCACAAACCGGGCAGCGGGTGCAGCTGCCGGCCCAACGAGGGGCCCTCCTGGGCCTCCTTTCCATGAGCAGGAGCTCCTGTGTGGGGCGCCTGCCGCTCTGGACCACCCCTCCCTCGCTCGCTTTGACTTCTCACTCCCAGGCACGGCCCTAAGTGTCAGTGGTCGTGAGCTAACGTGCAGCCCGGGGGTCGCTTCCGACCCAGCCTCTCGGCTGCTGCCTCTGCCTCATGGCTAAGGCTGAGCTGCCAGCAAATGGCGTCTCCCGCATCTCTGGCACCCTAACTCCGCGGAAGTCACAGCTGCTTTGGAACCTGCAACAATGTTCAGTTACAACGGGAGCACCGCAAGCCCCGCTTCCCTGTGGCTTCCCTCTGGGGACTCTGGTTGCTTGCAGCAGGTCTCAGTCCCTGCCGGAGGGGTGCAGGTGGGAGTGCACCCCGCAGGGGGGTGGACATGCTGTCCAGCGTGGGGCCCAACAGGCTGCCGACAGCAGCGGACCCTACCCCAGAAAAGGCAGGTTAGAAAGATGAATACAAATTCTTCTCTAATATTAGAAATTTGGTAATGTTTTTGTGACCAAAAATATGCCATAGGAATTTAACTCTTGTTCATATCAGGTGGCCTGGGGTAAATGTGTTGTTTGGCTTAAAGTAAGTTTTCAAGACCGGGGCTGCCCCTCCAGGAAGCCCTCCCTCACCGCCTCAGGGCGCAGGCTCAGGCCACAGGTGCCCCCCACACACACGCCCTGCGTCCCCAGGCCAACGGGCTTCTGCCCAACTTGGCGACAGACTAGAGAGCTCCCACTGTGCCCCCGTCAGGTTGGATAATTTGCCAGAACTCAGCACTCAGGAGAATGCGGCCCTCACTGTTGTCCTCCGCTATGAAGGATACGAGTGAGCCAGGGAAGAGATACTGCCGCGGTCTGGGCGAGGTCCTGAAGGGCCCATGTCGGGCCGTCAAGCGTGCCGGGCACTCGCAGCCTGGCAGTGCCTGAGCCCCGCCGTGCGGAGGGTTGTGCAGTGTCACTACGTGAGCATGGCTGGTCAGAGCTAACCCTGCTGAGCGCTGGGGACGCCGTCCCCTGCAGGCCGGGAGGGCGCCCCCTCGCCCGGCCTCTGGGATTGGCTCATTAGCCTGCCCACGGCTCACGCAGCACTCTGGAGTCCCAGGGTCAGGTTTCCTGTGCCAGGAACCTGGGACTGACAGACAGCTTTATCCACCACATTTTTGTACAATAATAAAGTTAATAAGGAATCACTTTTGTTTTCAAGTAACACCCGCAGGGGGTAAAAATACTTCGTGTGTGAAGGATTTTTTTTACAGTGGACTTCTTACTCGAAGCAACTCCGCTGCTTCTCCACTGAAAAACAGATAAGATCTAGTTTCTCAGCATCATGCGCATCTGGCCCGTCCCTCTGGAGTTCAGAACTATTTTATCACTGATTTGTGTTCTTAACCTCTTTTTTTCTTCCTTTCCTTGGATAATCTTCATAGAAAAACTACTGGCCATTTGCAAAAGGAGAGGGCCTCCCAGGAAAAACACTGCTCACATGGGCTTTCGGGGCTTATTCTTTTTTTATGATGTGATGTGTTTATTTACACACACAAGAGCTGGGCACAGGCTGGAGGTGCAGGGGTGAGAGGGCTCACCAGAGGCAGAGTCGGGGGCAGAGAGTGGGGGGCAGAACAGGCCGATGCTGCGGGAGACGGGGAGTTTGCGCCGTGGGGGTCACTCCCTGGCCGGGGCGTGGCAGCTTGCGAGTGTGAGACGGCGCCTCCGGGGCCCTGGCCATGCGCACTGCCCTGCCCTGACCCTGCGCCCCCCCGCGTCTGGCTGCAGGGCCCCGTGAAGCACGTGTACCGCGTCCTGCAGTGCCAGGAAGAGGAGCTCACGCAGATGGTCTCCACCATGTCTGACGGCTGGAAGTTTGAGCAGGTATGTCACGGAGGCGGCCGTCCTCCCCGTAAGTCGCCACTCCTCGGGCCTGGTCAGCCCTGGGTGTCCCCGTGGGCCAGTGCGGCCCTGCCGAGACCACGGGAGGAAGAGGAGGAGCGGCTCCGTGCTGAGAGCTGGGAAAGCTGAGGCTATGGCAGTTCCAGCTCGAAGGTGCCGGAGGGAGCCGCCGCCAGGAGTGGAGACTGGGAAGTGCAGCCTCCGGGAGTCTTCGGAGCACTTGGTGGGGGCTGAGGCGGCCTGTGAAGAGCTGTGGGTGGCCCCGGGGCGCTCTTCTGGCACTGCCAGAGACAGGACCTCTGTGGGGAAAGTGGACACTTTCTAGATGTGCCAGACCCAGACTGGAGCTCAGCAGCCCTCCCTTCCCCGCTGAACATGTCTGTCACCCACCCCGGGCTGGTGGCGCTGAAAGGCGCCAGCCTCGCCATGAGTGTGGGCGTGGGCTCCTCCCCAGCGCCCCCGTTCCAGCCTTTCAGGCTGAGGGAGGTCGCGAAACAAAGCGGCTGAGACTCCGTCTCCTGGGCCCCTGCAGTGGCGGGCGTTCGGCTCACCACCCCTCTGCAGTACGCAGGAGGCCGAAGCGCCTAGCACGAGCCTGCTGCAGTTTGATAGGTCGGGCCTGTGGTTACGGAGCGTTTAAGAGGCCGGCCAGCTGTCAGCTTCGCAGGTCAGAGCCACTCTGCGTATTGCACAGTGCTGGCTAGTGGTCAGGCACTCCGGGCCTCTGTCTCCGAGCCGAGCCCCCCGTTCTCCCCTCCACTCCCCACGGTAGGTGGGCTTAGAGCTCTTTTTTTCTTTTAAAGATTTATTCTTATTTATTCATACTGGGGTATGAGTGAAGAACTGGGGTACAGACCGAGGTGCAGGGGTGAGAGGGTTCACCATAGACAGAGTGGGGAGCAAAACGGGGATCTACAGAAATCCACTGCTGAGGGGAGCAGCGGGGAGACAGACGAGGTCTGCTGCGCCCTGTGGGTCCCTCCCTGGCCGGGGATCACACTCAGGCCGCAGTGGCTGCTGATAGCTCGATAGCGCTGAGACTTTAACCCCTGAGCGCCCTCCCTGTGCTGGACGACCATGGAGGCCGTGTGTGGGCCTAGGACACATTGAGGTGTGCGATGTGAGACTTTGCCATACCCACACCCCGGAAGTGCTTTCCCTGATGTAAAGTGTAAGCAAAAGGTAAAGTCTTTACCTCAGTGTACTTTGGGAAACACAGTGAATAATTTACTGCCTGTTTCTATCTAATGAATGTTCACGGGAGGGGGCGGTACCCCTGGATCCTGTCCTGTGGGGAGGAGGTTAAAGCACAGGCGGTCTGGGCCACAGACACCCCAGCACAGCGAGTCTCTCGTGCGCTCCATGGGAGGCTTTGGGCTGACCAGGTTGGCCAGGGCGGCCTCTCCCAGGCGCGGTTTTTCCGCGGGTGCACATCCGAGCTAGAACTAAATCCTGAACCAGTTCTCTGAGAAGGGTATGAGTACCATGTGGCTCACGTAGCTGTCCAGGGATTGGCTTAGTGCTTTCCAGAGCCTTCCAGGTGCCGGCTCTTCTGTGTTAGGGATGAGGAAGCTGTGTGGGCGTTTCAGCTGTGACTCAAGTGTCCATTTTCATTCACAGAAAACACTTCCCCCCCAGCTGGAGGGACGTGATCATGTTCAGCCTCGTCACTGCCTTTTGGGGTTGCTGCAAGTGGTGGGGTGAGGGGACAGTGCAGGACTCACACTGCAGCTTTGGGGAACCATTACCAAGATGCCCCGACGAAAGGCCAAGATCCAGCTGTCCACGGGACAGCATGATAGTCCCAGGGAATTTCTCAGTCCGGGCGAAGCAGAATCACAAAGTTCAGTCGGGAGAAGAGTTTAATAGTGTGCAACATTCATATGTTTGCCCGGTTCTTGTTTTGTCAGCTCATCAGCATTGGATCTTCCTATAACTACGGAAATGAGGACCAGGCAGAATTCCTCTGCGTTGTGTCCAGAGAACTAAATAATTCCACCAATGGCATCGTCATAGAGCCGAGTGAGAAGGCAAAGGTAAGCAGGCCCTCACCAGAAGCCGTTGCAGGCCCATCTGCTCACAGCCCTCTGTGGGCCTGGCCTGAACCGCCACTCACTGTCTCTCCTCCTGCCTTCCTGGGTGTTTGCGTTTCCCCTTCACTCTGGGCTTCTGACTGGTGTAACCTCAAGCAGGCCTGATGCAGCCATGACAGGCTTTCAGCCGGACTTCCCAGTCGCTGTCCAGTCAGTGGAAAGGAAAGCTTGCTAGAATGCTAATTACTACAAGGTGAAAATTCTAAAACTCAAAAAACTAGAAAATACTTTTGTTCTTTGAAACTTTGTTTTATTTTCTGTCTCAAGAGAAAGGGTGTTTTGGTTACTTTTACGACTTTTCCACTTAAGTTGCTGGGGAGTCGCTGCACACCCTGGCTGCTTCCTGTCAAACGTGCGCACTCTCGGGCCACACTCAGGCTTCTGAGTCAGCCAGTGGCACACGGGGCCTGGCCCGTCCATGATCCGCAAGTCCTGTCCAGCTCAAGGCTTCCGGGGAGGTGGAGGCCCTGGTCCTGCCTGCCTTCCTGGGACCGTGGGCCGGCGGGGAGCAGCTGTGGGTCTCTTCCTGACCCGCTCCTCTGCGCCCTCGGCCTACATGCAGTCTGCGCCCAGGGTGCCAGCCTCAGCCCTCCCATCTTCCTTTTTAGATTCTTCAGGAGAGAGGGTCTCGGATGTAAACTCCAGGATCCTGAAGGTCAAGAGAGCAACCCAGCAGAGCACCCTGAAGTTCACTCTTGCTCCTGTACAGTAACCGAGCTACTGCAAAGCAACGCTGAGCCTGGCACCAGCCAAGAAGTTTCTGGTCAAAACCAAAGGCGCCCCGCCCCCCACAGGAACCCAGGACAGATGCACCTTCCAGCGCAGAAGCCTGCTTTTGTTTCCTCAGCCAGTGTCATCAGATCTGTACAGCAGCGCAGGGCTGGGTTCCCAGGCAGCGCCCTTCTGGGGGAAGGGGAGAGGAAAGCCTAGCTCCTTGCGTGGGTCTGTACGGCCAGGAAGCTGGAGAAGAAAGGAGATTTTCCCTGAGCAGTGACAGGTTGCCACCGTGCGCCACCACCGGGGTGTGGGCGCCTCTTTGTGACACTCCGCCTCCTGCTGTGCACCCGGAGCAGAGCCGGGGCAGCTTTGGTCTCCGAGGGGGTCTGGATGAAGCTAGAGCTTTACCCTACGCTCTGAACAAAGCCTCTCTACAGGGGGGCGGGGGTGAGGCGTCCTTGGTGGAGGTTGGGGATCGCTGCTCTGGGTCCGGGCACTTAGTTGCTGCCACACCCGCTCTGTCCGTTTGTCCCCGGTGCCACGGACCCGCACGCTGCCCCTCCCCCCAGGAGAGCTGGAGGCAGCGCACTGCATCAGAGGAGTCTGGGCAACTGGTAACTGCTTCTGCAGCCTCCTGACCGCCCTTTGGCCCATCTTCCCTCCCTGACGTTCTAAACCGGACCAGGGACAAAGGACCTTGGCCCTTCTGATGGCGTGGGGTGGAGACGGCTGTTTCTTTGGAAGTTGCCAAATGTGTTGTTGTATCCCAAAGTGTTGTTACTTCTGTGCTTGTCTCTTGGAAACGCCTTGACGGAACACGTGCTGTCTGTGTGTCTTCTTGTGTCCGACCTCGGCACGCCGGCCCCACCGCGGAGTCAGCGCCCTCAGCCCACAGTGCGCCGTGTCAGCTGGGCAGTCTGCAGCCTCCTGGCGCCCCACCCCTTGCGCCCTCCTTGTCGCCGCTTGCTCTGGAGTGCGGGGTCCTCGAGCGCGTGCTGGCCCGGCCCTCCTCAGGGCCTCGTGACTGGACTTCTCTCTGCGCTTTGGAGCCCTGCTGACTCGGGCCAGTGCGCCCTCCCTGTGCTGGACGACCTTTAGCGGTGTGCCACGTGGTCCGGAGCCTGGGGCGAGGTCTCCAGAAGTGACCATCTCCTGAGCCCTGCACTGCCGTGCCCACCTCGTCTCCAGGGTCTCGCTTTGTCCTGATTCCTCAGTGTGTGGAGCAGTGGGGGTGAGGAGTCCACCGCTGTGGCCCCGCCCGCAACCCAGCCATGCCAGGTTAGCGCAGCTTCTGCCCACAGCAAACGTCACAGGTCTCCACCCAGTCAGCTTCAGGGGCGGACAAGATTTGGGCGTGTGACGGAGGGACAACTGGCTGGCTGCCCGCTGGAGGGGCCTTAGTGAGTGGCATGAGAGGGGGGATGGTTGCTTTGGGCTGCCCCACAGCCGGCCTCGGCCCCACCCGGGGACGCCGCTGGAGGCCCAAGGGCAGTGGCGAGGCCCTCAGCCCGGCAGCTCCGCTGGTTTGCAGAACAGCACCTGGACCGTTCTCTGAGAGCTCCGAGGTCACCCGCTGTCCCGAGGGCTGGCTTCTGCCACCTCGTGGCAGCCAGTGACAATTATTCCAGTGCTCCGGAAGTGAAGATGACTCGTTTCTTAAGGCCTTTGGAAGACTACTGTACCATTTCCTTTATGAACCAAGTCAGTATTTTCCCTGAGCGCCTTCTCGCACCTGGGGGCATCCAGGTGATAACCCCACTTGTTGGTCTGTGTCACGTGACCAGGGACCCACACTCTCCAGCGGCCTGAGGCTGGAGGTGGGAAGATTCCTGCTTCCTTCCCTGCCAGTCTGAGGCCTGGCATCTCACGGGACACTGAAGTACGCGTCAGCTCTGGGGCCCACGCGCCTTCCTGGTCTGTGAGAGGGTCCAGCCTCCTGTAAAGTGACTCTTTCCACAGTCTGAACCGATCTCAGGGTGTCTGGGGAGGCAGAGTGGAGGCAGGACCTAGATGCTAAGGGGGAGGGCCGAGAGGACACCCACCCCCAGTGTGGCCTTTGATCCAGACGCTAGGAACCATGCTGTCACTTGTGGGTGCCCTTTGTTACCGTGTGTGTTTGAGAAAGTCTGAAATGCTGTGGCTTTTTTGTCAATAAAGACGTGAAACCAACTCTGGATCTCAGAGCCTTTGGGAGAAGCCTTCCAGTGCTGCCGGCTCCCTGGTTTCCAGTCTCACACCGCTGCCTACAAACTCCTTTCTCCGGCTGCTAAACTGCCCTTGGGGTGTGGGCCTTCCTCTTCTCATTTTATTGAATTCAAAAAGACCCAAGTGCTTGAGGAGCAGGAGGCGGACAGATGGTCAGCCCATCAGAGAGCCGGAAACACAGGGAAGGATGAGGTGGTGTTAAGGGGAAAGTCATCCTGGAATCTTTCCCAGGGCCCTGTTTTCTCTACAAGGAAGAGACAGTAAGAAATGTGAGGTGAGCATCTGGCAAAGAGTGCAGTTTCGGTCACTTAAGGGATCAGGCTGGGTCCTCAAGGTGTTAGCAAGCCCCTCCCGGAGGGCGTGTGGGGTGGCGCAGAAGTGGTTGGGCGAGACCAGCCACTGCAGCTGGCGACATGGCCAAGGGGCCAGGGGACCCTGCGGTGTCCAAAGCACTGAGTGCAGAACGGCAGCGGAGGCGAGAGGCAGGCGTCTGAGAGAGCTGGATGCAGGGGGCTCGGGGAGAAGAGGCTGTCCCCCTGGGCTCAGTGAGGCTGGTTCTAGAAGTGTGGGAAACCACACAGAGCCACGCCACAGGAAACCACTGGGCCAGCTGTCACTGCCAGAGTGACGCTTGTGGCACCACTGATGACAGGAAGGAGCATGTCCCTGCTTCCCCCTCTAGCCCTGTAGTGTCCCACTCGGTCCCAGGAGCCCTGGGAAAAGAGCAGCGTGCTTGGCAGGGTGCCAGCCCCAGCAGCACTGGGGCATTCTGGACGGTGGCTTGGAACTGACAGGTCACAGGAGCTGCCCCCCTTTGGCCAGGCCACAGCCTCGTGTGCGTCTAGGCATATGTAAGCTTCCTGCAGTGGTGAAGTCCACTTGGGCCTCACCTAGCAAGATGCTACGACTCTACACAAAGATTACCTCACCCTCAACACCAAGGGCCAGAGACAGTCACGTCCTTTTCTGGGTGATGTTAGTCCCTCCCCAAATTGGCTTGGTAAGAGGACACCCAGGTCGTGGCAGGTAGCTCAGTGCACATGATCACCTAGCACCCTGTGGTAAGGTGGTAGAAGCCGCTTCCCACAGCAAGGTCACCTGGAGAAGGCACAGGGCAGCTCTCAAATCCCGCAGTCCTGTGTGTGACTCTCCAGCCAGGGCCTGTGGAGCCTGCAGACAGCGTTGGCAGTAACAGGTCATTTGAGTTTCACTAGTCTACCATAGTTGGTAGAACTAAAAGGAGCAACAGGCAAATCCAGACCACTTGGAGTTTTGCCACATCTCTCAATACCTGTTCAAGCAGAACAAAAAAAAAAAGTTCTAGAGCCCTCCCTGGCGGCACAGCACTAGAAGCTGTCTGCAGCCCCTGCAGCACGAGTTCGATTCCTGCCAGGGAGGGACCCACGCAGCTCCGCAGACCTCTCCTGACCCACCCGCTGCGCCCCTCAGCAGTGCACTTCGTCCATCTGCCTGTTCTGCTCCCCGCTCTGTCTCTGGTGAAGCCTCTCACTGCCCCTGAGCCTCTGGCCTGTACCCCAGCTCTGTATGCACAAATAACTAATTTTTTAAAGCAAAGTAGAAATCAATGAAATGGAAAACAAACATGCAGTAGAACTTTCAAAAGCAAAACTATTTTTTTGAGAAGATTAATAAAATGGACAAACTGCTAGTGAAACTCACTGAGGAAAAAGAAAATACTAATGACATCAGGAATGTAAATGGGACACAGAACTAAAGCCCGCATGTCTTGCCGATCATCAGAAGTGTCTTCGGATTCAGACCCAACGGTATCCAAAGCAGCGGCTTGAGACGTGTGTGCGCAGCCCATCCCGTCAGCAGAGGAGCGGGTGGTCGGAGTGTGGTCCACTGTGTGGCACGGTCGTTATCACCTCCAAGTCGGACGAAAATCTGCACGCAGGTGCTGCAGGAGACTAGCCAGGCGCAGCCTCAGGGCCGGTGGGTGGCGCTCACCGCCAGCTCCTCGCCGAAGGTGGCGCTTCCAGGCTCCACCCTCAGGGGGCTGACGGGGAGGAGCGGGGAGGAGCGGCCGCCCGCGAGCCCTCCCTCCCCTCCGCCGCCCTCCCCGGCGGTCCCCGCCGCTCTCTCCTCTTCCTACTTCGCTCCCTGTGTAAATAACGCCCTTCGCGTTTCTCCCTGTGTGTCCGTTTTGTGTTGTGTCCTGAATTCTTAGAGCGGGACCCCTGGGGAAGGGGGATGGGGAGGGGGGAGGGAGGACAGCCCGGCCAGCCCTGCAGGAACACCGCAGGCGTAAGCCCGCCTCCCTGCTGGCGCCAGGGATTAAAGCGCGGCCCTGTGAAGCTCTCCCAGCCACGGAAGAGTCGGAGCCGGCCAGGGAGCGACCCCCAGGGCGCAGCAGACCGCTCCTGTCTCCCCGCTGCTCCCCTCAGCAGTGGGTTTCAGTCAGTCTGCCTGTTCTGCTCCCCCCTCTGTCTGTGGTGAATCCTCTCACCCCCTGCATTTCTGGCCTGTACCCCAGCTCTTGGGTGCAAAATAAATAATTTTTGTTTAATTACCTAAGTGAAATAAGCCTGACTCAAAAGGACCCATATTGTCTGACTCCACTCTTGTGAAATGCCCAGGATAGGCAAATTCAGAGGCAGAGAGTGAATTAGATGTTCTAGGTTGAAGGGCCCTGCCTAAGGATTCTTCTCTATGGTTACAACATTTTTGTTAGGGATGATGAAAACAATTTGGCTATAAATGGACATGATGGTTACACAACATTGCAAATGTACCCAACACCGCTGAATTGTGCACAACAATTATTTAAAAGGTAAATTTTATTTTAAAATTCTAAATGAATCTTATGAACGATTTTACACCAAAAATATCTGATAATGTAGATGAAAGGCACAACTTTCTAGGGAAACACTACTTATTAAAACTGATAAAGGAAGGAATATACACTGTAACTATTCTAAATCTCCAAAAGAAATTCACTATGCAACGAATAACTTTTTTAGAGAAAATGGGCTTTCGTGGCAGTGAGAGAATCCCACTGACCATCTGAGGGAGAAATAAAGTCTTACTCTTCCGAACACTTCCCCACTCGCTTCATGGCAGTCATGTACCTTACTACCAAAACTTGACAAGGATACCACATAAAAAGAAGAGAATCGCAAGTCAATCTCATTCGTGAGCATAGATCACAAAATACTCGCACACAGGCCCTCCCTGGTGGCACAACAGGTTAAAGCGCAGCACTGTGAAGCTGTCTGCAGCCACTTCAACACGAGTTCAATCCCAGGCCAGGGAGTGAGTGACCCATGGGGTGCAGCAGACCTCTCCTGCCTCGCCCGCTGCTCCCCTCAGCTGTGGATTACTGTCAATCTACCTGTTTGCTCCCCACTCTGTCTCTGGTGAATCCTCTCACCTCCATACCCCTGAACTGTACCCCATTTCTGTATGCATAAATAATGGAATCTTTTTAAAAATTATAAAATAAATTCTAGCACCCAGCATATAGATAGAAAGCGTTCATCAACACTCCACTCAGAATCATGCAGAATGCCAGGTTGGTTTAATTGTTGACACTTAATAGGTGCCAATTCATTTGCCATATTGGCGGCGTCAAAATGGCCAAATTTATGACCATCTAAAAAAATGCAGAAAGAGACTTGATAAAACTTAACATCCACTGCAGATAAAAACTATTAGCAAACTAGGAACCCAAGAGAGTCTTTAAAAAGATTCATTAATTTATGTATACAAGAGCTGAAGTGTAGGCCAGAGTGGCAGGGAGGTAGAGGTTGAGAGCGGGGAGCAGAGCAGGCAGATTGACCAAAATCCACTGCTGAGGGGAGCCACGGGGAGAGAGCAGGGAGAGATCTGCAGTGCCTGTGGGGTGGGTCAGCTCCTTGGCAAGAGGTAGAAGTCATCTGCAGGGGCTGCAGATTGTCAGTGCTGAGACTTAACCCCTCGCTGCAGGGGAGGCCCCAGGGCGTCTTCTTCATCTGATCAGAGACATCTACAAAATACCTATTGCAAGCATCATACTTAATGCAGAAATGTTAGAAATGTTTCCTCTGAGGCAGGGAAAGGAGGGAAGGAGAACTTCTGTTTATTGTTTCTCCCCTACGAGGGGCCAACTCACTTTGTGGAGGAAGAGCGTGATGTCTTACAACATTATCAGGGAATGCACGTAGTTGGGAAACAGATTGCCAAGGAGCTGTGACAGAGTGGTGAAAGTCCCACTTTTCTCACTGCTTTTTTCTTCTTCCAAGAATCAGAGCTGGAAAACAATAAAGTCACCCCAAAAAAGGCAAACAAAAGAGCCAGAGCCAGAGCGGAAGCAGGAATCCTCAGGACCACCGACCAAGCAAGGTGGCATCATCCTACTTTACATCAAGAAACATCATCTCCTGCAACAGAGCCTCTAGATACCCAAGAGAACTAAAACGGATTAAACAAGCCGTCCAGGATCCCGCTGCCCTCAGCGGCCGGTTTTCCCTGCCGAGGGTGATGTGAGGCCCCAAGCTCCCCCACCCCGCCGTGGCCCTAGGCCAGCAGCAGCTCTGCCTCCCTCCCGGGGAAGGCTTGGGGGCAAGACCTCCTGCAGGACATGAAGCCTCCCCAGCATGGACATGAAGCGTGCCCAGCACACACCTTTGCCCAGCTGACATCACAACAGCCAGGGCTGGTCGCACTTGAATTGTGACATCAGGGGTCAAAATTGCGCCAGCTCTTAGGAGGGGCCACCTTCACCAGGAGACCACTAGACCACGCAAAGGAAAGGTGAGGGGGGCCGTCAGGCCCCGGAGGTGGACGGGGCGTGGCCGGGAGCACAGGGGACTGAGGGCAGCCTCCCCGCAGCTGGGGGCATGAGACGGGGTGAGACCCTCCCTCCCGAATGCCAAGAGGTCATTTCCCTTCCAGCACAGGGCAGCCAAGCCTCTGGTTCTCCGTGGCATGCACAGGATCTCGCGTAAGTGCTTGTGCTCCTTCAGGAGGCCCAAGGACGCGGCCCTTTTCCTGGTCACCACGTGGCTTCCTTCTGCGCCCCCCCCCCACCCCGCGCCCCATCCAGGATTGGTTCAAGGAGTTAAGACCAGAACAAGGACACACGCCCCAGCCGGTGCACCCCATGTGGGCTGACCGATGACATGGGCCCAGTCCCTGGGCCTGGGGTGCCCCTCACCCCCTGCCTTGGCCTCAGTCCCTTGACTTCGCTCTGTCTCCCCAGGAGACAAGTCCCAGGGCCAAGTCCCAGCCCTGCCCGCCAGCCTCCCCCCGGACCAGCCCCCGATGAGTAACAGCAGCAATGTCGGTGCCTGTGAGGGCCAAGTCCTCTGTCCCGTTTGCCTGGAGGTGTTCCGCGACCCCGTCACCACGGCCTGCGGGCACAACTTCTGCATGGCCTGCCTGCAGGGTTTCTGGGACCACCAGGCCACCCTGGGCGAGGCCCTCTACTGCCCCCAGTGCCGGGAGAGCTTCCCCTCCAGGCCGAACCTCTGCAAGAATGTCATCCTGGAGGAGATGGTGACCTACCTCACGCAGGCCAAGGGCCAGAGCTCGGGGTCCTCGCAGGGCCCGGCGGGGCCCAGGGATGTGCCGTGTGACTTCCGCGCCCCGAAGAAGGTCAAGTCAGTCCAGTCGTGCCCGCAGTGCACGGCGTCCCTGTGCGAGAAGCAGCTGCGCAGCCACTACGAGGACTGGGCCTCCCGGGACCACCGGCGGCTGGAGCCCGCGTGGGACCCCCAGAGCCACCTGTGCCACAAGCACCGCCGGCTGCAGTGGCGCATGGGGGGCTGCTGCGTGTGTGGGGCCTGCCTGCGGGAGAAGCACAAGACCTGCCACGCCATCCCGCTGGAGGAGGGGCGCGCCCGCGGGGAGGTCAGGGGGCCTGTGGGGAGGGAGGTCAGGCGCCCGCGGGGAGGGCAGGGGCCCGGGGGGAGGTCAGGGGCCCGCAGGGAGGGCAGGGGCACACGGGGAGGGCAGGGGCCCGCGGGGTCAGGGGCCTGAGGAGGTCAGGGACCTACGGGGAGGGCAGGGGCCCTAGGGGAGGGCAGGGGCCCGCGGAGGTCAGGGACCTACGGGGAGGTCAGGGGCCCGCGGAGGTTAGGGGCCTGCGGAGGTCAGGGACCCGCGGGGAGGGCAGGGGCCCGTCCTGGGCCGGCACCAACAGGAGGGCGCAGCATGGGCAGCAAGGTCACCCCTCACCTGCCCTCCCCAGGGTGACCCCCACCTGCCCTCCCCAGGTTCATCCCTCCCACGAGTTCAGCAAATCAGGGTCCCAAATGATACAGATGGATCTATGTTACACTGTGCACGGGAAAAGGGAAGGCAGAAAGGAAACAGCAACACAACCCCGTCTTTTTCCCTTCAAATTTTTTTATTAAAGATTCATTTATTGGGGCCTTCCCTGGCCGCACGACAGGTTGGGACAAAGCACTGCAGGTAGGCTGCAGCCGCCTCAGTACAAATTCGATCCCCGCCCCAGAGGTGATCACAGGGCGCGGCAGACCTCTCCTGCCCCCCCCCGCTGCTCCCCTCAGCAGTGGACTTTGTCGATCTGCCTGTCCTGCTCCCCGCTCTGTCTCTGGTGAAGCCTCTCACCGCCCCTGCACCTCTGACCTGTACCCAGGTCTGTATGCATAAATCTTTAGAAAAAAAAAAAAGATTCATTTATTTATGCACACGAGAACAGGAGTACAGG